ATATACATGTATATATACACACACACAACAAATTAGTGCGACGAACTGAGATCAAAGCTGTGTTTCAAAATGATTTTAATTTGTGGGGCTCTTTGAATTGATGAGTTCAACCAAAAGTGGGTACTCTGCTACTTTTATTAATTAATTAAATTCATTATCTGTCATAGATAAATAAATAAATAGCTAATTTTATATCTGAACCTCTCTCATAATTCATCTCAGCGCCCTTTTATTTATCTTGGAGTGTCCAGCCTTTAGGTTGGGGACCTCTGGACTAAGCAACAAACTTCATGTAAATTACTTAAATGTAACTGTGCTTTGACCACTTATATTTTAGAGTAAATTTTCTTTTATAAATTAATACATTCAGAGTCATGAAGATTTTTATCATCTAGATGCATAATGAGAACTAATTTTCTTAATTTCTTTCTTTTGACATATTATAGTTGTAATGTAGTATTTTTATATTGTGCCACAGATCCATATTGTGCTTTTGCTACTTTTTCTTACCTACAATAATCTAAACACTTTTTATTGGCTTGTGTGTCAGCAACTCATGGGCAAAGCTTTTTTTTTTTTTTAGTATATGTCCAGCAGGTGTCATTGTTGGGCTAGTCTATATAATGAACGGAGATTAAAAGGGTTCAGTTTGTTCATTCCCTAACTGCATCTGTCGCCTCTATGTTGAGTATAACCCAGTGGTGGAAGATGTATTTTGATACATGAAAGCAGCAATACTAGAGTATAAAGATACTCCAGCTTTCATTGTGGAAAGTTGATGTTTTATGGTTTGTGTGGTGATCTAAACAGCGGTTTAAATGTGATCTCTGACTCAAGCAGAGTTAAGTTGGACTATTTCACATACTGTTTTTAACGTGACTTATTTACATTCCTGTTATCTGTACTCTGACGTCTCCAGTAACACAGATATGTGCATGTATTTTGTAGATGCGGGTGGTACCGTAACTGATGCAGAGATCAAGTCTATCTCTGAGAGACTTTATTCTCTGGACTCAAACAAGGCTTCAGCCTCAGACTTGGTCATTGACCCTCAGGCTCTGGTGGCCGACTCTCAGACCAGCTCTGAGACAGATCGCTCCTCAAAGTCGTGAGAAAAGCCGTTTTATCAGCACAGCAATCTCTCGCTACATAGCAGTTTTTCTATGTCCTAAATCTTTTTTTTTTCTGCTTTCAGCTTGTTCAGCTACCTGAATGAGAATGCTCTCTTCTCCAAGCCCACCTACGCTGCTCTGCTGTCTGTGCTGGACAACTACAACAGGATGACTGGACAGGCAGAGAACTTCAGCTCTCAGCAGCTGGCTGAGCAGGACAAGTTTGTCAGGGAAACTATGTCCAACACTCAGCTGGGACGGGAGCTGTTTGCTTTTCTCTACAACAAGGGTAAAACATTTCTATGCATGATATTTCACCTTCACGCATCCTCAGCAATACTTGAAGGTCGGGTACGGTTATCCTCGTGTGTTTTCAATGTCTGTGTTTATATCTTAAGGCATTTACAAATCAGAGGAAGACTTCATTCAGGACCTGAAGATGATGTGGTTTGGTCTGTACTCTCGCAACAACAACCAGCTGGACTCCAGCGGCTTTGAGCACATCTTTGCAGGTTTGGACAGAGCAGATTTCTTTTTGAACATCTTATTTATTTGAAAAGATATTCTCTTTTTTGTACTATTTTAAAACCACATTCTCTAACAGGAGAGATCAAGGGAGGAAAGGTTTCCGGTTTCCACAACTGGATCCGGTTTTATCTTCTTGAAAAAAGTGGAAAGCTAAACTACTACAGCCACAGCTTCAATGGGCCTGTAAGCACTGATGATAAAAATCCTAAAATACTCTTTTAATTTACAAAGGGCGCTGCATTCATTTTTTTCTTTCTTGCTTCAGTGGACTACATTTCCTGATGTCTTGGGGATGCAGTTCATGTGGGACGGCTACTACAAGCAGGTTGGCTCTGCGGTCATTGGCTGCAGCCCGGAATTTGACTTTGCCATTTACAGCCTCTGCTACATCACTCGTCCTGGAAAACAGTGAGTAAATGTTCACATCCTGTGACGCCTTATTGAACGTGGATCTGTTCTCATTTCTGCTGTCTATCATCATCCTTAGGTGTCATCTAAGTGTGGGAGGGAAAACGCTCATTATTCAGACTTACACCTGGGATAATTCCTCCTATGGAGATGGGAAGAAGTTCATTGGCTCGGCCTATCCCGCATCCCCTTAAGGACTGACATTTCCCCCTAAACAATAAACAAATTGCAGAGCTGCCTGCAAGTGTTTCATTGCACTCATTATATAATTGTTTTGAAATCATTTTCCCAATAGTAGCACTTAAGTTCAAGTTCCCGAATTGAAAGATGTAATGTGATGTAAATTTGTCACAACCTTCCCTCCTGTATTAAAACAATACAGAGCAATAAATAAAAAAATACTTTATCTCCTAATGATGGTTTCTTTCTGATTATCTAGTTGCATAAACAAAACTGTAAACCAGCAATTAATCTGCAGTGAAACCTTTCAGAGAAGTCTCTCGGAGCATGAGAATGTGGCGATCTCCCAGGGGCACGATCAAGCTGTGCCTAATGGGGCAAAAAATGGGCGTTTACACACCGTGAGCGGGCACAACGCTGACACTAACCGTTCAGTCATAAGAGCGTGTGCACACTTGACACAATTGCTTATTGTCTTATGTAAGAGCAAAACAAAAAAACAGAAAACAAAATGCAGTCTTTTGCAGTATGAACTATAGAAACAAAGAGACATTAACAGATCTTGTTCTGCTTGACCTGCTCTGAACAGTAACCACCAGCTAAACCTGTTCTTATCAGCTGTCCATAAAGCTGCCAGTGTGTATAACTCCCCAGTGTGTGGGGTTAAGAATGTGTGTGTGTGTGTGTGTGTGTGTGTGCTTGTGCGTTTCTGCCTTTATAAATGGATGTGTATGTGTGTGTCCAGCTGGTATGGGGGTTGATTTTACTCTTTCACTCATCTAGGGTGACTAACAGGATAAATTCTGGTCTGCCGACAGAACAGGGGGGACACACTTGCTGCCCTGTTTAAAGAAAGTATTACAGGAGGTGGATCTGCCACTGATCCCATTGTCCACCAGTCTGTGTGCATTCATGCAAAACAAGAGCACAAGACCAGTCAGTCCGCAGGAAAACTCAGCCTTCAGCAATTCATCTGATTTAGGCCTCACATGTAGTCAAAGTGCTGCAGCAACATGACAATAAAGTTCGCCCAGGGAAGAATTTCTCTTGCTATTTTGTCAGACCATATTACATTTTCTTTGCTGGTGGCTCTGGAAATTAGAAGAGTAAATCTCCTCTCTTTTCACTCTGCCCTCTTTTTTAAGCCCCAGTGGAATCAAATTAAATCACAGTGGGGCAAATAAAAGGGGGAGAAAAAAAAAGATTCAATTGTTTCTTTTGTCACTCACACAACTTCATAATCAAATTATAGCTGGCCACCCGCCAGCGTGTCCTCGCATCTCCCTCAAATGGGCTTCTCCTGGCACATCTCGTGAGCCACCTGACTTTTGTTTTGTAATTATATTATCCCGCTCTCTCTTTCGCGTGTTGCGGCTAATGGCTGAGCGGGCTAGCCCAGCTGCACACGCAGAAACAAAGCTGCTTATGGGGGCCAGACAATGGGCCTGTGGAAAAGGGACGCCTGAAGGCGGTCAGCCAATGAGCACGCTCAACAGGGGGCCAGCAGGGGGTTTAGGAAAGGGTTAAGGGGGGTTAGGGTTCAGCCACAGGGAGAGGAGGAGGAGGGGAGGGGCGTGTATTTTACCCAGTGGTGGGGTCCATCAGTGAGATGGTTAGTAGAAAGACACATGGTCACCATCACCCCAGTCTCCCCAGGGTCGATCCTGGGCTGGAGGGAGGTTCAAGTTTGGCTTAGAAGACTGGCCATTTCTAAAGTTGATGGGGGACCATGAAATACAGAACAACATTCATTCTCTGGTGTTGTTTTGTACGTTTTCCAAACAATTTGAAGACCGTATTGTTATTGCTGTTACCGCTGGTATAGATGTTGAAATGGATACTGACATGTGCAAAGTGAGAGATACAATCTCAGTGCACCGATACAACCTACGGCCATATCAAATTACATGTTCACATTACATTTCTCATATGGAGAAAAAAAAAAACTTTTTAAAGGCTACACATGGGCTCTATCCTCATCCCCAAACATGAGAACGCGCACAAACACAAACAGACACACTGTCTTCATGCTGCGGCGCTGGCATCTCTCTATGGAATTCCAGTATGACAGATGGACAAAACCCACTTTCCCCACTGTCACACACAGAAACACTGGGGATTCAGAGGAAGGTCATGTCTGTGTGTGTACTGAAGTGAAGTTTTATCTGTCCTTCTTTTTTTTATTAAAACAAATTCCCGTCTCATACCTAGAGAAGGTGAGGAGTCCTCTGAGCATGCGAACATGCTGAGTGGGCTGAGCAGCCAGTGGAGAATAGATGAGCATCTGAGCCACAGACTGTTAAAATATGATATATGTTCAAGCAAAGACCATCTGCAGCAGGACTTCATCATGTGTGGCCAGCACACAGGGATCAGGGGACATCATGGCATACATACGAGCACCACTTGTCGAACATAAAGATCGGATAAAAACTGCAAGTAGGTTGCATTTAAATAGAATTATTAACAGGCTAGAAGAGAGAGAAGTTTTTCAAGTTTGGATCAAAGCTCTTAGAAGAATAATGAATAAAATTTATTCTGCTAGGTTGTTACAAAATGTTTTACAAGCATATGCAACGGGGACACGAGGCCTCAGCTATCATATTCCCCTGCCGGTTCCACTCTGGGGATGTAAGAGACCCAGCTCTGCTATTCCCATCTCAGGCTGCAGGTGTGGAATAGGACAGGAAAAGACGCAGGGGGAGGAGCATGGGGCAAGGTGGTCGACTTGGGAATGAATATAAAGTGAAAGCACATAGTTTGGAATTGCAGATTACCCTGTAAACTATGTTAAGCCCCTCTGTTAGAGCATGTGGTGCTCTTTTCCTAAATTGCATATACAGGGAGTGCAGAATTATTAGGCAAGTTGTATTTTTGAGGAATAATTTTA